CAGAGCATCCCAGCCTGCGGCCCCAGCGCTGCAGGCTGCTCCAGCCAGACCTTTGCTCCAGCTGCTCAAGCCTGCCGCTGCCTCTGCTTCTCTGTTCTGTGCAGCAGAATCTGTGCTGCCTGTGCCAGCAGCAGGAAGCAGTGCTCAGCGTGCAGCCGCTCAGTGCCTTGCCCCTCGTTACCGCTCCCTGGGTCTTCTCAGTCAGAATCGGAGGCTCCCTGTTCTTGGCGCCCGGACAATTCTACCTCCACAGCCGGGTTTCCTCCTGCCCAGTAGAATCAGTGTGTGGCTCCGTCCTGACCTCTCCGGTTGGACCTCGCGAGGATTGAGACGCATCCTTTATCATCCTCATGGGTCCTGGGGGTGTGGTCTGTGCCCTGCTCCCAGTGATGTCCCTCTCAGGAGCACTGGCTCTGTGTGGTTGATGCACCCACGCTGTGTGAGGCCACTGCTGCTCACGTGACATTGGCTGGTTGCCACGCTGACCCCCTTTGTGCCTCATACATGGCTGTGTGCGCTGCTGATTCTGTGCAAACTGGCGCTGACCCGTTGGCTACTGAAGTTTTAGACAAAGTTGGACGGTCACATTCAGACTCATTTTGTCTCGCTTCTTCCCCCCTCCCCCACCCAGCTGTGTGTCACCACCAGACACTTCCTGGATGACAGCACATTATGAATTTTTGCATCCTTGGACCAAGAGCCTGCCTCTTGCGCCCCACAGTACTGCCTGCATCGTCTCACCCCCCGCCTCCCCCACGCTAATACTCCCAGCCCTTTTCCTTCAGCTCCTGTTGTGTTTGGGGGTCGATTTTGTGTGTGTGTGTTCCTTTGTTCCCATGATATCCAATTTTTGTTGTGACACTGGATGAGATAAAATACAGTCCCTGGAGAAAGGCTTCTTTCAAGATGGGTGTGAGAAACTTATTAACAGGCTTAGGGAAATAAAGCACAAGGGACTATGTCCATTTCCCTGTCAGAGCTCAGCCCGCTTCATGAGCATCCCTTACCTCACACAGGCTCGGGGCCTGCGCGTTCTCCTCCCAGTGGGGCCCAGAAGCCGAGGAAGAAGGAGCTCAGCCATGACCGCAAGCTGAGGCACCGCACACTCCCAGCTGAAAGCTGTGCTCCGGGCGCGCGGCGCGTTGGTGTGGTTCTGTGACTGCATTTGGGCTGAGTTAGCAAGAGAGCCGCATGTGTGTGTGTTTCTATGATTCTCCTGCTTCGTTTGTTTTCTAGTAAAATGCTTCCATGATGAAGGAAGGGGAGGATGTTTGTCTTCATTACCAACGTCTCAGACAGCCTGGGAGTAAATGTAAAGCATTAGAGGTTTTCTTTCTTTGCTTTTTTTTTTTTAATGTACTTTCTGGTTCTTGAACCCAGGGCTTACTGCATGCTAAGCAAGCACCCTAGCCCTCCGAGCTACATTCCCAGCCATTTTTATTTTATTTTGAGACAGGGTCTCACAAGGTGTCCTCCAGTTTACTAACCCTCCTGCCTCAGCCTTCCAAGTAGCTGGGAACGAGGCATGGGTCACCATGCCCAGTGAAAAGGAGGCTTTCTAGTGCTGAATTTTGTAAAATCCCTAAATGATGGGTTCCCCCTGTCACTCTCTGAGGGGTCTCCTGCCTCTCAGACAACCCTGCTCAGTGTCCCCTGCCAAGGCCACCCCTCAGGTTGGGATCCCCCGCATCAGCCTCCTCTACCTCACCTCCTTCCTCCCTAGGACTGGAGCCAGCACCATCTCAGTAGGACACTCATGTTCTGTCACCACATCCATAGCTTTATCTCTAACTCCAATTCCTTACCAAGGCTAAGGAGACTTCTAGTGTCCGCCACACATCTGGATGCTGAATTAGCAGTTGTCACATGAGTGCATACTTCTTCATAGCGGCATGCCCCTGATGGGTCACTAGCACATCCAGCCCAAGCCCAGCTCTCCAGGGTCACCCCTCAGCCTTCTGTCTCTATTCTAGTTAGGGGCACCTGCTTCCCCCCTCTCTGCCCAGGACCCCATCCCCCCCTCTGCTCCATGTCCATCCTTTCACCAGCTATTCCTCGCCCTTACTGACTACCCGCAACTCCCACCACCTCTCCACCTGTACCAGGGCATCTTTCTAAAACAGTCTGGTCCTGTCACCCCTTTGGAAAACCCTTGCACTAGCTACTGAAGTCTCCCTGGCCTGGCTTTCAAGGCTTTCGAGGTGCATCTTCACCTGGCTTCTGTTGATCCACTTTTAGCTCCCCACCCCCACTGTCCTCAGTTTATTAGGTGAAGGAGGGAGAGCGACAAGAGTACAGTAGCACACTGAGATATTTAAACACTTAGCTCATTAAAGGGTCCAGTCTACCTGAGGACAGTCACTTTTGTTATCTCAGCCTTGTTCATTTAGTCAAGGGGTGTAATGTGTGTCAGGCACTGTACACCGTGTGCAGGAATCGTTAGTAGACCAAAAAATGCCACAGATGCTGCCAGCTTGGAGCCTGCCTTGGCCCGGTGGACACAGGCCTTAAACCTTGACCTGGTGCAGTTTGGGTCTTGAATGTACCCCAAGGCCCCGTGTGCCTTTGTCCACGGGGGGGCGCTATTGAGAAGGGTTGGGGCCTGTAGAGGCAGAGCCCAGATGTTGGCTGTGGCTGCCACACCAGGCGCTACCAGCAAGCGTCATGCAGCACTGTCACCCAAGTCCTGGAACCTCCAGAACCACAGCCAAGTCAACCTGTTTGTAAATTCATAACCTCAGGGCTTCTGTCCCAGTGATGGCGGACTAACAGAACATGGGGGTGGGTGGGGAGAACAAAGGGAGACTGGAGTGGGGGAGGGGAGGGGTTACAAGGTTAGAGGCCTCACTAAGGAAATGAGATTTGTTTATTAAGCCATTTGGGGATGGTACTTTAGATTACATCCTGACCCTCACCTGGGGAGCCAGGGAATTTAAAGTCTTGTGAGAGTGCTGCGGAGTATGGTAGGCCCTCCCTACTGGCTAGCTCACAGGGATTCAGTCAACTGCATTTCAAAAATATAACCTAAAGATGAAGGGCCTGTACTTGGGATGGAACTCAGGGCCTCACGCTGAACTGCATCCCCAGCCCTCTTTATACTTCTTATTTTGAGACAGTATCTTGCTAAGTCACCAGATTACCCAGGTTGGGCTCGAACTTGAAATCCTCCTGCCTCAGCCTCCCAGAGTGCTGGAGTTAACCTCTGTGTACCACCACACCCAGATTTAGAAATGATTTAAAATATACAGGAGGACATGCATCAGATATATCCAAATACTGTGCCGTTTTGTATAAGGAGCTGGAACAGCTACAGATTTTGACATCTTATGTGGGTGGAGAGGGCTCTTGCTCCCAGTGCCATGGATATGGCTGTAGCCGTGACAGCTCCTGTCTGCTGAGAGCTAACTACACGACAGACTCTGGGCTAAGAAGCTCCTTAGATCTTTCCCGCAGCCTTTTGAGATTAATGCTGTATTATCATTGCTCTTTAACAAAGCCAGTGACCCAAAGAATTTGCCCAGCACCATGAGCTGCAAAGCAAGAGTGAAGATTCGAGCGCACACACTATCCAATTTTGCCTCCAGCAGCCCCATGGTGATGGTCGAGCACCACTCCTTTGGGCCTTTCAAAATCAGTAGCTTGAGGAGCCAGCTAGCACTGTCCCTTGTCGCCAGGAACAGTTCAGTGTCACAGCCCAAGTAGGAGCTGCAGAAACCCTCGACACCTGTCCCCATATCCAGCATCGGATTCCCCTCCACTGGGTGGTTCTCAGAGCAATCCTTCCTGGGTCTTCATCCTCCGTCTGCTAATCCTGTGTCGCCTACCTGGACCTCGGCTTTCCCCATCTGCCTTGAGGTCTTTCTCCTAAACATTTGAAGAGCCAGACTCAGTCTCAGCTGTTTGAAGCTGGTGTCGGCCTCGCTGTGTGCTCTGTAGCCCTGGTCTAGACATGGTTAGCGTAGAAATCCTGGGTGTTTGCACATCGGCGACCCATAATCAGCGTGTTGCATGCGTGCCAAGCGTGACTAGCCACTCATAAAAGAGCAAAGCGTGATTCAGAGAAAGCCAGCAAAAACAATGTATGATTTGGCCTCCTCTTGGTCTGGTGCAAATTGGACTTTTGAGTCATAAAGCTCGTTAGAAACGTGGGTGTATTTGACTCTAATAAAGATTTCAGCGCAGCCCGGACTTAGAGCGGTGTATTTAGGCTACAGATTGACTTCTGGTACAGAGGCAGATGATGTAAAGGAAGTAACTAGCTCCAAAAGAAAGGCTTTATTGTTTCTCTTTCCCTAACTTCTGCTAAGAGGAGAATTGCCTGAGTTAGGAAATGTCTTTTTTCTTACAGGAAAAGTAGATGTTCATGATGTGGGCAGGAGAAGGGGTGTGTTAGTTTATTTGGGGCTCTGTGAAGCTTGTGTAGGGTCCCTTCCAGGACATCTTTATTAGCTCTGATGTAATGAAGCTGCCCCATGTCCTGGCTGGGGGAGCGCAGTCGTTACAGCCGCTCTGCTTTGGGAGAAGCAGAAGCGCCTCCCCTGGGCAGCAGCTCACTGACTCCTGTTTGCCCTGCCCTTCTGCTGGTGACAGAGGCCAGAGAGCAGCAGCTGTGGGGTAAGAGTTAAGGGAAAAAACACTGGGGACATAGGGTGACCTGGGAAACAGCTTACCAAATCTGGTTGGAAAATTTATAAGTAAGGGAAGCTCACATTTAGGATGTGACTTTTCTACTTCAGGCCCTATAATGATTATAATTTTCACCTCTATTATTTCATGTAATACTCATTACTTAGGAGGCAAAAGAAAATATGGAGCATTTTTTTTACAGACGTGGACACTGAAGCTCAGCAAGGTCACAGCCACCCGTGTGGGACCTGGCGAGCCCACCACAGTCCGGCCACTCCAGTACGCTTGTCATAATCAGTATGGTGGTGGCTTCTTTTGAAGACTCTCGCCGAGGCCATGTCCTCTCTTACCAGCCCTTGCTCTTGTCTCCTCAGGCAGTTTGGTGGCTACGCCAAGGAAGCAGATTATATAACTCAGGCCAGGCAGCTGCGCACTGCTCTGGAGGGAGCAGCCACCTACCGGGGCGACATCTACTTCTGCACGGGATACGACCCTCCCATGAAGCCCTATGGACGTCGCAATGAAGTCTGGCTGCTGAAGACTTGAGGCCAGGAGCCCCCCCAAAAGGGCACCTCGTGCCCCCTCACACAGGGCCGGCAAGGGGGCAGGACTTCCCGAGTTCCAGCCCTGCAGGTCTGTCATTGCTGGGTGTCACTGTGTTCTCTGAAATAAGCATGTTGCATATCCTGAGGGTCTTCTGCTCGTGGTGGGAAACAATACAGCCAATCTAGGCAACATCATTCCCACTGATTTAGAAAATTCTGTGACAGATTAAAAAAAAAAAAAAAAAAAAAAAAAAAAAAAAAACTTTATCTGACCCATCTGGGTCACTGAAAGCTGATTTTTTGAAAAATGAGCAAATCTGTATTTTTGTTAAGGATTATGTGATTTGTGGAGTCTTTTGTCTGTGATTCTTATAAAAGCTCTGACTAAAAGAAACCAAAATTAAAAATCTTTGACTGAAGTACCTGAGAAAAATCCGAAGTATGATTATTTCCGGGGTTCTAGGGTAGCGATAGAGAACCTTCTAGAGCTTGGAATGATACAAGTCGCTGCTGCACTGTGAGTGCTGCGGGCTCCTCACCGCTGCCCCAGGCTCTCACAGATAAGGTGGTTGTGGGTGCTGTGGACAGTGGCCCCCACAGCAGGAACCTGCGCTGAGAGCTGCAAAGTCCTCCCCAGCAAACCCACAGGCCCCCGGGAAGAAGGGCAGACCACACCTGACTGTCTCCCAGCTGACATTTTCCATGACTCACAGCACATCTGTGGAGGCTCCCAGGAGTCACAAAAGTACATTTAATCAAAAAAAAAAAAAAAAAAAATCACAGACAACCCCATGGGCAGAATATTTGCCAGGATTTGTTCAGCCTGGTGAGGTGAGATCAGAAAAGGCTAAGTGACGAGGAGAGATGTGGGAGAAGGTGCATGCAGCTTGGCCTGCAGAGAAGGCAAGTAGAGGCAGGGTGTGGGGGGAAGGAGAGGGCAGGGCGGAGCTAGAGCGGAGCCCTCGGGTCCAGGGCGGGGAGAGGGCGCCCTGGTGCTCATGGGCTGCACAAGGGCCTGGCCTGTCAACAGCCCCACAAGAGACATTGGCGATGATTCTCCAGGAAAAACCCACCACAGACCCTCAGGTTACTTCAGGAACAGCTCTGTGAGGTGCTTCATAGGGAAGAGACCATAGCTGGTGCCTTCACCACAGAGGGCTCCACAGAGGGCTCCGGCAACATGAGCAAGGCTCCCTGAGGAGGAATGAGAGCTGCCGTCACCTGCTCTGGATGGAGGCTGTGGCCATTTCTTTCTTTTTCTTTTTCTTTTTTTTTAATTAATTTTGTTGAGAAAGAAGTAGCAATGTGACAGTTTCAAAACAGGTTAGTAGGACAGTTACAATAATTAATACATTGCATATTGTCCTTGTAGTAGTTATTCATAGTACAAGATAAGATATGATATCTAAACACTATTAGTTCAAACTTCTCATTGAACTAACAGAAAGTAGCTGTATATCTATGCTAACTATTTTGTATATACAGACATTTTTTTCTCACTACAAAATGGTCCTTTGTTTTTTTTTTCAAAAAAAAATTTTTTTTTTTTTTTTTTTCGGAACCGGGGATTGAACTCAGGCCCTTACACTTGCCAGAGAAGCGCTTATTCCACTGAGCCATCTCCCTGGCCCCTTGGTACTTCATTTATATCCCCCTTTTTTGTTTACTTTTGTCAGAGATGGGCATTCCATTGCCATTCATGTATTGTAGGTGCATAAATTCCACAAAGTAATCCAATATAATCCAGCAGTCCATAATAGTAGTGGGTTAACTGCATGACTGGCAATGTCAGAAGTTGTTGACTTGAGCATTTTATAGCTCAGCATATTAATATGACTTTACTTTTTATACCTTGTTTTTATACTTTTCGCTAAATGGTTAAGACAAAGATAAAGCAAGACCTATATAACAAAAAAATGTAACTTTTATATCTGACAAGATCTACAAACTGCTGTACAGGGTTTCAGGGTAAATCCTGAGGGGATTTGTGGCCATTTCTGAAGACTTCCCCAGTCAGACACCAGGCCCACACCATCCCACATATAGACATGGGCAGACAATGACAGTCCCCACAGATGTGAGGAGGACTGGGTTCCCACAGCCTCAACCTGAACTCAGGACCAAGACAGACAAGCAGCCCCAGGGACCTCAAGATATGCCAAGGGAGTTGGATTTTTCCTAGGAAAAGTTAAAAGCCTATAAATGGCTTTGAGCAGGAGCCTGACTCCGTCATGCTTTGGAAGGAAACTCCTGTCATGGTGTGGAAAGAAGATGAAAAGGGGTGTGGCTGGGTGTGAGGTGACTGGTCCAACAGTAAGCAAAGATAATGGTAGTCTCAGCTAGGGATGGAGAAAAGTGCACAGTTTGGAACAAGAGATGGGATCCCCAGGACTTGGTAACTGATGGTAAATGATAGAAGGGAGAAAGCTTGGGCGAGGATTAGAACACATCACCCCAAGTATGCCCCTTGGGGAAATGATTATTTTTAGCTGTAGGCAGTTGAGAAATGGCAGACACAGGAAAGCCTCTCTGCTCTCTTTCCTACCAAAAACCAAGGTGCAAATTTTCCCTGAGAAAACTAACCAAGGGAGAGGATGTCTTTATCACGAGGTGGGGAGCCCATGCCAACGTGTATCTGTAAAATCTAACTAATGCAGCCCTTTATCATCATGAATTTCCCCCGTATGTCTCCTGACTGCTGTCCCACAATTTCCCAAACTGTCCCCTTCTCCTTTGTCTTACCATGTCTCCGCAATGTGCCGTTCTTTTTTAAGATGATATAGAAGCCCTGGGTCTATGGGCCTCTTTCTAGGAAGCCGCACCAGTGCCACATCAAGAAGATTAACATCGGATAAGACTTGCATACTTTTTCTCCTGTGAGTCCACCTTTTGTGATGTCAACTCACATACCTCCACCTTGGAATTTTAAAGGATGAAGGGAAAGTCCTCCCCTTCTACAAGGTCAGGTTAGTGCCCACTCTTGGCTTGGATGAGTGGGTGGGTAGACTTGAGATAAGGAAGGCAGTGAGAAGCAGAACAGAACGATTTCAGGAAGGGGCGGCTGCAGCACATTCAAGGGAAGACACCCAGGGGGCGCCAGAAGCATGGGTCTGATGATAAAAGAGAGTAACTTGGAGATTTATGTTTGCATCTCACATAAAGAGAGAGGGAGTAGGTGAACTATGAATTCTCAAGGAAAGGTGGTTGAATGGGGGAAAAACTCAAGTAAAATTTCAGAGGAACCCCAATATTTAGAAAAGAGCAATGAAAAAGAGCCTGGTAAAGATAAAAATAAAAGGGCCAGGAGCCAAGGAGAAATGTCAGAAAAGCCAGAGCGAAGCGCTCACATCTGTGCAAGTGCTGTGGACACAAGTCCTGGGACCGTCCCAGGTGCAGCTCCTCCACCTCTCTGAGCTCCTACGGCAGCCTCATCCCTACTCTGCCCTTCTGTTGTTCCATTTTCCGCACATCACCAGAGAGACCTTTGCTTGCAACTCTCATTCAGTGCTTAGACTTGAGCTCAAGCTCCACTCCAGGACCCGCGGGGCCTTTGATGAACTCCCTCCTGACTGTCCCCAGCCTTGGGCACACTAAACCTTTTCTGCAGAAGGGATCTTACGTTAGCTGTCACCCATTTTGCCTGAAAATGAGTCCTAGGTGGACTTGCAAACTAGAGATCACAAATGCCAGCCCCAGTCAGCGGGTCCTTACGTGCCATTGCTGTTGTCTTGGGCAGCAGCTGCTCTGTAAGGCTGGCTGGGACTGGCATCTTTGTTTGGTTTTTTGTTGTGGTTGTTTGTTTTGTTTTGTTTTTTGGGTTGGGGGGGTTTGTTTTTGTGTTTTTGTTTTTGTTTTTGTACTGGGACTGGAATCCAGGACCTCTACTGCTGAACTACATCCCCAGGCTAGGCTGCCGTCTTTAATCTCTAGTTTGCAAGGCCGATTATTTTCCAACTAGGTCTTATTTTCAAGGAAACACAGGTAGTTCTCTAGCCTAGTATCCTGCTTTTCTCCTTGTAACGAAAAGTACCATTTGTGGTTTGAGGACTCATTTTCTTTCTCCTGTCTCATACTAGATACAAGTTGGTAAGAAGAGGGCCCTCCCTGAGTTGTTCTCCATCACACGCCCTCAGCTGGGTCAGGGCCGTGCCATTTCGGAAGGCACCAACCTGTAACAGAAAACTGAACCAACAGCTATTTAAACCCACTCGATTTTCTTTCCTCACGTAGCGAGATCTATAGAGGTAGGTCTGGGGGTCCGGTGTTGGCATCTCTGCTGTTGTCTTGCCCTTTCCCTCGGGACAGCAAGATGGCTGGGGCAGCCCCAGCCATCACATCATGTGCAAGGCAGGAAAAGGAGAAAAGTACGAGTGGCTGTATCATTTTCTATCTGTCCCAACTTATGAAGGAACAAAAGCTTTCCTAGAAGTTTCTCCCCCATAGTTCTCTTGTATTTTATGGGCCAGAAGTGACATACAGAGTCACCCATACCTACAAGGAAGGCAGAGGAAATGTGTGTTTGCCATTCTAGCCTTAGGGATGGGAAGCAGCAAGAAAGTTACAGACACGGAACACCTTTGGGTAGCTCACCAAGGGTACAGTGAGCGTACCTGGGGTCAGAGCGTGGCAGGGTGGGAGTCCGTCTTCTACCATGTGGGATGAGGCCACACGGGAGAGGTGCCGCAGGCTCTAATCCTACATTCGCACTGTGCAGCCAAGCACGGCTCACATGCATTTTGCTGCCTCTGCTCCCAGTGATTGTTGGGCCCATCTTCCCTCCTCTGCAAAGCCCAATCAGTGGAGCATACAGAGTCAAGAAGAGGAATGAGCAGCTGGGGAGACAGCTCTGAGCGCCTGTCTGGGCAAGCAAAAGGACCCGAGTTCGATCACCAGTACTGCATGCCATCCTGGTCCCAAAACTGGGTGTGGTGGTACCTGCCTGTCTCACTGGGGAAGCTGAGACAGGAGGATCACTACAAGTCTGAGCTGTATAGTGAGACCCTTAACAAATAAAAAATAAAAATTTTAAAAAGAAGAGGAATGATTTTTCAGCCAGTGCCCCACACCAAGGACAAGTGACAGGATGATGACACAGTGATTTAGGAGAAAGAGGGACAAGAACTAAAGAAATGAAATATTTACTCTCCTCCTGGATTTAAAAATAAAACAATAAAAAAATAAAAAAAAAAACAGGATCACAGACATCAGAGTTCCTCACTGACAACCTGTGCCTAGCAAAGTCTTTGCCCTGATTCCCGCCCACTCTTCTGTCAGTTCTCTCCCAAAACAGAAGGTGGCAAAGCTCCTGCCGTTGTCATCTTGCTGCCCTCTCCTTAGGACCTGGAGTCGAGCAAATGGCTAGTGTTTTCGATTGCTGTGTAACTAAGCAGGACTGTAGTGAGGAGCAGGGCGAGGGCACC